ATATATTATATGTTGATAGAAAGCACTGTTTGTTCCAACCCAGTTGTTGAGCCTGATGTCTTCCTAGAGCATCTATTCCAAGATTAAAAAGGCAAGGGATGGGGTAGTTTATCTGACTTATCTGACTTTCTTTCTTTCTTTTTTATCTGTTTGACTGGACAGTGAGAGAGAAAGACAGAGAGAAAGGTCTTCCTTTTCCGTTGGTTCACCCTCCAATGGCCGCTGCGGCCGGTGCACTGCACTGATCCGAAGCCAGGAGCTGGGTGCTTCTCCTGGTCTCCCATGGGGTGCAGGGCCCAAGCACCCGGGCCATCCTCCACTGCACTCCTGGGCCACAGCAGAGAGCTGGCCTGGAAGAGGGGCAACCAGGACAGAATCCAGCGCCCCAACCAGGACTAGAACCCAGGGTGCCAGCGCTGCAGGCGGAGGATTAGTCTATTGAGCCGCGGCGCCAGCCATATCTGACTTTCTAAAATAAGACAGAAGACACAGAATAATTCTAAAATTTCCTATATACTGTTTGAAAATAGACTCCCAACCCAACTCCCCTACAGATTGAAAAGTATCCATTCTCACTTCTCTTCCTCTTGGGGATTCTGCTGTGGAAATATCCAAGAGGAATAGATCTAAGAAATCTGAGGTTTTCTTCTTTGAAATGTAAAATGACATGTAATTACATATATAAATAATGTGCCTTTTGTCCCTTTTGTAGTTATATATAATATAGATGTTTTATGTAATTTTATATATATATATAGTCCTTTTGCTTGACAACATCCCTAACTTGCACGATCAGTGTATGTCTGACTGTGTATGTTGAAGTCCTTGGAAATCTCTCCCTATCACATTCGTACTAGCTGCTCACTCATACTGTTCCCAGCTGTTGAAAACTTCCTCATTGTACCAAGTCAGGATACCCTGGTGTTTTCCAAAGGTTAATCATTTCTTACTCATTGCTTTCTATCTTTACCAAATCAATTATAATAATTCTGTAGAAAAGTCTACCCAAGTTTTTCCATGCATACTCTGTAATATAAATGAACACTATCATTTATATAGTTCATTTCGGTGAAAAGAATATGGATTTCAAGCCTTCTCCAGTTGTAAAAATAAAAAAAATAATGTATCCTTTTAATGCACATAATTTCACATGCAAAATAATTCTTGGAGAAAATAAAAAATGATCCTGAGGTAGGGACACAATTTCTGAAGTTAAAGGTCATTAAGAATTTGTCTGCCTCCCTCACTGTCTCACCCTCACCTAAGCAGAGAGGATCTATTTCCCTTGTCTCTCCTCCATCACTGGTGAAGCATGGATCCCACACTTCACAGTCTGTATTTGTTTGGAGAACAGCTCAGATGCAGTAGATGTGGAGAGAAGAGAAACTAGAGAGCAGAGCCAGCTTCACTCTGAGTCAGACACTGTGGGAACAAGAGCTGGCCTCCAGGGCCTTCCAAGCTGACCGCCCTTCCAAGCCGCTCCTCTTTCAAGCAGGAAGGAGGAGCAGAGCGTTGTTGCCACCAGAGAAGATCAATCAAGATCCCCTTAGGCAGCAACAGCCATGTACCCCAGCCTGCCAGAGACACAGGATGGATTTCAAAGGGACAGATATGGCAAGTCACCAACAACTCAATTCACATATTGTGCTTTTTACAGTGAAAATAGGCTCATTATTTAAAAAAAAATCACTACATGCTTATTATACAAAATTCAGACAACATCTAAAAGCACAAATAGAAGAACCAAGATTTGAGTGAATTCAAGAGTATATCATTGGTTCTTTGTAGGAGTAAATCACTGATACCCCTTGCATCTCCCCTGAATTTAGTAGGAGCACAGCAACTGCTATTTGAATCATAGTTGGGGACAGTCAAGTGGAGAGATTTTGTAGAGCTTGGGGACCTGGCACCAATGAGCAGACTTTCCTGAATCTTAAAGTAATAGCAATGATAGCTAACATGCTTATCAGGTATAAGACATTCTACCCAGGAGTGTGTGTGTGCGTGTGTGTGTGTGTGACAGAAAGAGAGAGAGACAGATCTCAGTGTTCACAGTAATCTGTCAATTACCATTTACTGTCATCATTCCACAAATTTGGCAACTGAGACTCAGAAATTCAGCCAATATTCCATAGGCACTAAACTTCACACATGGTAATGCCAAAATTAAGATCAAGGTCTCTCTGACCAAATTTCCAACTCTTGGCTTAAATTTATTGATTTTCTATAGTAGGCAAGGACTATGAAAAAGGGAATAAATTGAAAGGAAGAAAAAAAATCACAGATCATCTCCCTCCCAATGGACAACAATAGGTGTGTGTACTGATCCTAAATTAGCTGTCCATGAACTGTATGGTAGTGAGAAAAATCACTCAATGTCTCTATTTTTATTTTCCCATCTGTCAAATGTCGAGGAAATCATAGGTGACTGGTTCTTAATGTTTTGGTGATCATAAAACACTCTCATGAATTCACTGAACTCTCCCTCCAGAAAAATGTGTGCATGAACATGAAATGTGAAACCCTGCATTTAATTCTGTGGTGACATGATATTACATATTTATCATCAGGCTTCACCATTGAAATGGCATATCCATGAGCAGAAGGGACTTCATCTTTTTATGTCTATTCTCACAGCTACTAGAACAGTACTTGGCATTTTGTGGGATTTTAAGTCCCTCAGCTGAACAATAAACAGATAGGGAATCCTTGATTCCTTAAAATCAGTTCATAACTACTCCAGGTTCTTTTCAATTCTCAGAGGTCCAAGGCTGAAGCCAATGAAATGGCCACTCTTTGGTTTTTGACCAGTAATCATGGTGATATCACAGGCTTCAACCTAAAACATTAATGTACAGTTTTACCAACTTGTCTAATATGAAGGCTCACATGTGCACTATTATAAATGTTGCTAATCTTTCAGTATGAATCCTGCTTATCTCTGACAGCTGTTACTTACCTTGAATTCACTACATGTTGAAACCTAGGCAAGAAGATAAATGTGCAGTGTTTCCTGTTTCTTGTAAACTGCTTGTGAATGCAAAAAGAGTCCATTTCTCTTGTAAGATATAATTCAGTTGCATTTTCTCCTTAAATTACGTGATTCAGAATTTATCAGCACATCCCTAATTCCAAACACTGACTTCAATATAAATAAGAGACCAAAATAATTGTAAAACAAGAAAGCAGTATACTCAACAGAAGCAATACTTTCTAAGATGTTTCCAAGTATAAACTTCGGGTTGGTTAAAATATAACTATTCTGTGGTGTGGCTTCTGGGTTTGATATTAACCTTCATACTTAGCATCTACTCGGCATTACAGGTAATATATGACACCCAGTATTTATAATTTTTAAAAGACTCTAGACATATCTAATGTAGAAGATTCTTGATGTTAAAGATAAAAATGAAAGCAAATTGCTGAAACAAATAGAATCACTTTTGTAATTGTTTGTGCAATATAACTACTGTAACAATATTTCTCAAATATGTTGACTAAGTAACTAAGTAAACAGTGGTAATTTATTCAGATTAGTGAGTGTTAAATTGACAGTATATAAAAGTTCTGTTTTGTGCTATGACCATTCGAATCCCTTCTTGACCATAAAGACTTAACTCATGGTGTTTCAACAAGCTCCCCACCCACCTCAAGCCAAGCTGCTTACTTTCTTCTCCAAAAGAATGTTTGCATTCGGATGGGTTGCAGTAGAAGCAAAAGTCAGATATTAAACTAAAGAAACTTCCTGTGGTTGAAAGCTAAGAGAAGTCCAATGCATGTCAATGCCAATCAAATAAAAGACAATATAATGTGGTATTAGTATAACTTTTGGCATGTATTCACCTATACCATTCCTACCGTCTGCTACATTCATTATCAAGTCCAAAGTGAGAAAAAAAAAAGGAAGGAAAAGTTCTTTCTCTTGCTTTACTGGCTGCATTTTTTAAATAGTTGGCTTGTCCTTTGCTAGTTGGAGGTGTCCAAAATACAATACAATTAGATTGAAGAAATAAACAACTGAATGCTAAAGTCATTCTAATTCCTGAATGGGGTGTGTATGTTTATAAGAAAGGGGGTACAATGACAAAAAATACTGACAAAATTTGAAAATTAAATGTGTGTGTTTCTCAAACTAATAAACTGTAAAATCACCAAATATTCTGAATAAAAAAAAAAAGGAAAAGGAAAAGCAAAGTGATGGACCTCTACTTTAGAATTACCTAGCGTTCTGCTCCTCCTTTGATTCTGTATCGATGCTTCCCTATCACTCAGTCATGGAAAAGTGAACCTGAATTTATATTCTAGAAAACAGATCTTATCAACACATCTCATACAGTTCTTTCTGGAAATAATATTGCCATGGGTAGCCTTAAGTGCCCATTTTCTGAGAGAAGATGTGCAAGGGAGTAAAAAAGATGAAAATCAAATATTCTTGTAGGTTACACTTGTAAGAAAATGAATACAGAAAACCTCGCAACTTCTCATACAAAGAAGTTTGTAGATTACTTGTTAATTCTATTTGTTCTATATCCTATTTTCTCACTGATAAGGTAGATGTTGTGATCCAATAAAGTTAAATACAAGTATTATTTTAATTAAATCATATGTTTTTCTTAATGGAAATGCCTTTTCATAGTAGTTAGTTACACAGTTACTACCTACCTTTATAGAGTATGTGTGACCATATGTTTTGCAAACTAGTGGCCCAGAATTCTTTATTAACCTCTACTGCTACTTCTCTCTGACCTTAAATTGTTGGAAATTATGGAGAAACAAAATAAATTATTTTCTTTTTGAGTATATCACAACTAAAAATCATGGAAAGGGGAGAAGGAAGTAGAGGAAGGGAAAAGCAGGAGATAAGAAAAAGTGGAATCATGAAGTTCTGATTTTAAGAGGTTATAGGTGAGAAGGTCAGGAAAGGAGGAGAAAATCCAGCCATCACAGAATCCAGTCAGGAGCCAGAGCCCATCTGGGACAGTGATGTCCTTCTACATTACCTTATCTCCAAGCATGAAAGGAAGCAGAAACAAGGCCAGGATCTCTTCCTATTCAGGAGCCAGAAAACCAGCTGTAAGAGGAAAAACACAATCACCCTGGAGGGAAATAAAAAGATACTGCACTGAGATAGAAAAGTCACTGACTGATTAGTGCACTTATAATTTGCATTTTTTTTAATGTCTCAAAAGTATCAAAGAAACCAAGGGGAGAGGAAAGGGCACTAAAAGAGAAGAAGCCTCATATGTATTTATTTCTCAGTTGAACTAATGAAGGGTAAACTTTAGTGAGCTAATTCATAGATGGGAAAAGAACAAAATGGAAATCATGATAATGAAAGCCAAAGCATCAATGAGTCTTTTCCTTGGAGATATTGTTATCAGGAGGAAAAGAGAGTCTCAAAACAATGAAACAGCAAAATCATCTTCAGCTGGAAACCACAAAACTTCACCGCAGATAGCATCTCTGATTATAGGAGAAGGATGTCCTCACCAGCCTGCCCTGAGGATTCACAGAAAATGATTGCTTCTCTCCCTCTGATGGTGACAGGCAAGGTAACACCGTGCCTTCCAGGCTGTATCAGAAGAGAGTGCCAAGAAAGCCAAGGAGCAGGAGCTCTCTGACTTAGCACATGAAAATCACCTGCTGGTCCTCACGCTCCTTCGCCAGGGATGCTCTTTCATGAGTCAAGAAACAGACCAAGTGATCTCCATTTCTAACTTGCACCTAGCAGGTGGTCCCTGTAGCTCACCTCAAAAAGGCCTGCACTATTCCCTGCTTTTGCTCAAGATGCCCTGGGTAGGTTGTCTGCTTCCTCAAAACAGTGCGCTCAAGTTTAGATTCTCTCAGCTTTGGATTAAGATATTTTTTTCCAGCAAGTGGTCAACCTCTCAGAGGATTTCTTCCCGTTCAATTCAGACTTTTTTTTCTGAAATTTCCAGACTGCTACTTTCCTAAGTTCAAAGGAATATTGTGCTTTGAAAGACACGTTTAGGTTATTTCTAAGAGCCTTTGAAAACATACTATGTAGGTACACATTGAAGCACATTGTTTTAGGGAAGAAATGTATGCTACTTGTCCAAGTCACCAGATGGAATCTTAAACACACTTACTGGCTTGATTTGAATGACTTCTTTTTTAAATAGTAAATTTAAAGTTACCTCCAGGGTTCTTCTGTATATAATTAAAAATGAATCTTAATGAAGAATGGGATGGGAGAAGGAGTAGGAGATGGGATGGTTTGTGGGTGGGAGGGTGGTTATGGAGGGGGGGGAACTGATATAATCCAAAAGTTGTACTTTCAAAATTTATATTTGTTAAATACAAGTTTAAAAAAAATACAAGTTTAAAACAAAAAAGAAAGAAAGTGGTTATGGAACCAGTCCTGCCTCTGCGCCAGGAAGCCCCGCCTTCACCACGGTAAGCCCTGCCCTTTGTTGGATAAGCCCAGCCCCTCAGGGGGTGAGCCCCATCCCTCACTGGTGTGAAGCTTCTTGGGGGCCAGATCAGCTCCTGGAGATCCTCCCTGCACGTGATTTCTGCTCCTTTTCTGTGCTACGGGTTTCTGGGTGCCATGTGGACGCTCTGCATGGATTGCTCTTCCAGGGGTCCCGGCCGCTGACGGGCCTTCACGCCCTGACCCGAGGAAGGGAGCCTCCTCACCCTGGTGCCTTTCTCTGGGTTACTCACCTGGCAGATACTTTTCATTTGTTTGGAAAATGTTTTAGCATAGCTTTGTTGTCTACATGTAAAAGTGGCTTGTATATTTGTTATGATGCTCTTATAGTATATTATTCTAACCAGCAGCATATTAAAGTTATTTTCTGATGAATGTTAAACAAAAGTTATCTCCAGGGTTAGATGTATGGTATAGTAGTTCAGACACCACTTGGGATGCCTGCATCCCATATCAGTGTCCCTCTGCTCTCCATTCCAGCTTTCTACTGATGTGCACCCTGGGAGGCAGCAGGTGATGCCTGAAGTGCTTGGAAATCTGCCACCTACTTGAGAGACACAGAGTGTGTTTGCCATTTCAGCCTGGCTCCGCCCTGGCTGTTGTGGACATTTGGGAATGAACCAGATGATAGGAGATCTCTCTATATACTGACTACTTATTTTTTTTTTTACAAAGGTGATCTCCAGATAATTAAGATGACAAAGAAAAATGAACAATTCTATATCTGTTCAAACTTCACTCATTTTTATAACACTTATCTTTCTACATTTTCTCAATGGTTTATGGCCTCAGATTTTTCAGGTAAACTCTGCTGAAGTATAGTGGGCTATTTACATGTGTTTATATTTGTGAGACTCTTAATACATTCTTGGCTAGGATCAATACTCTCACCCACCCTCAGATAACAGTCTTGTTTACCGACTTAAAAGGACCTTGCCATAGAAAGTCCTTTTCAAAAGCCCGTGTGAGTTACTTTTGCTTCCTCCAGCACTGTTAAGATATGTCATCTTTGTCTTAGAATAATCTACCTTTTCTGGAATGAAAAATGGCTTTATTTTCACTCTTTTATATTTTTTAACTGTGGAATTGTACAATTTTATTTGAAGTACTCCATGTTCCACTGAGTACTCAATGACTGTTATGTCCTGTCAAACAAAGTGTTGCTAAATAATGAGGTCTTTTTTTATGGCCTTGATGGGCTACTACAGTATTTTAGTCTCATTTAATATAAAAGATGCGTTCACACATTTCTTATGTTATTATTGGAGACATGATCACATTGATCTTTTTGGGGATAGTCTGAAAGTTTATAATTAAATCATATTATTCATGTTATTTAAAAGCACTCTTTACATTCTTAAGTCCAATCTGTTTTAACTGCAGTAAGTGTTTGGCATGAATTTTTAAGATATTCCTCTTACTAGGTATTTTTCCCCTTTCATCAGACTCTATCATAGTTTCAAAGCTGCCCAGGGCAGATTTTTCTTTAGAAAAGCAAAATTATAAAACCAATACATAGCTTCAAGATGATGGCTAAATGTTAGTATCTAAGAGGCAACCCTCTGCCCTCCCTACCCCCTTGCCTTCTCTTGAGATCTGTGAGGGTGTAAACTTGTAGAGGGTGTCGTTGATCTTAACCCTCAAGGCCTTGGGCAGCTCTGGATCTATAAATTACAACATCTGTTTCCTGCTTCAGCAAGAAAAGAGACTTCCTGCTGGGTAGACTATGCCTTGACTTCAAGGCTGTCTTATTTCTTGGACTTCTGTCTGCTGTTTCTCTCCGGATAATTTTTCTGTGACTTTACTTAACCTCTGGTTTTTAAACTACTCTGTTGTTCTTACCAAGCTACAATCTCCTGGTTTTGATCATCAGGATTTTTTTTCCCACTCCTATTACGTGGGCTGTACTGGTCCAAGCTTTCAGTCTTAAATAAGCCATGGTGTCCTTCCCTATGACAGACCTACCCCAATCACCTGCTTTTAAATTCTCCTCCATACTAACTCCCACCCACAAGCATTGGCTATGTCTTCTCTTTCCAGCTCCATAATACCACCTCCCTTTCTTATAAGCTCATGTCCTAAAACAGAAAATTTTGCTTTTCTCTTTCCTTCCACTTTCCTAATGTTTCCTTAATAAATTTCTGACCTCTGAAGCTCCCAGTAGCATATGTATGGATCCACTAGGAAATGAGTCTTCCAGAGAAATGTATGTAAGTCTAGGAGGAATATTATCATTGAACTTTGAGAATTCAGCTCCCAAAAAAATAAATAAATAAAAATTTCGTACTGCATATGAATACATTTAAGTTTTTTTAATACAAAAGCAGTGAAATTACTTTAACTTACTATTTAGTAAAAAGAAATTAATACAAAAAGACTAGTAAAGTTAAATATTGAATTGACTTGAGTGTTTTTAAAATTTCTTACAAGCATTTTGATCAGAATAGCAAAATTTTTACCCACTTGTGTGGTCCAGCCTCAAAGAATATGTAGCATATAAGAGTCTCATCAGGTGTTTTTTATACTACTAAATGTTAGACAAAATTTTTAGCCAGGAATAATAACTCAGTATTTTCCAGCAGTTCTACTTATAAATTTACTCTTGTGTGCATATACTGCTTATTTATTACCTCTTTATTTCCCACCAATATCTAGCCTGAACCAAAAATACTGATTAGAACTCCCATTACTTCACATACATCACTTTTTCATCTACTGCCTGCTAAAACTCAAGATTATTTAATAAAAAACAAAAGGTGATTTAGAAAGAAAAAAGCCATTGCTAATGAGATATACCACTCCCAACAATGAGTAAGCAACTTGTACTCAGAATTCATGAAGAAATTAATCACCTTGTTTTACTGGTAGTCTTATATCTGTGTTAGTTTCACTTGAAATATATGTTTTTGGACTAAGCAGAAGATACAACTTGAGTTACTAATATATTGGTGGTAGTCAAAATTATGGGATTAAATAGTATTTCCTGGACAAACTCCCTATGTGGCACTAAAAGAAGTCAATCTTGGGTTAGTAGGAGATAAATTTGGAAAAGACAGAACCTTTTATAATCACCCTAAAATTGCATCCCTTTCTTTAATGAGGGCTAAATCTTGACGCTAAAAGGTCTTTGTGCAGACACACACACAATTTACACACACACAAATTACAAAAATCATTTGGAATACTAATACACATAAAAAGTATAGCATATTTACACAAGACCATTGAGGAGAGAGGCTAAGCCAATCTATCTATCTATCTATCTATCTATCTATCTATGTAAAGTTAAGTGTAAGCATAGGTTAAAATCCCTGTGGAGATTATGATTGAAATTTTATATAGCATGAGAACAAAAAATATTAAATTTTATGGATCTTTTATATGCTCTGTGAATCTTGCGCACACACACACACACACACAGAACTGTTCAACTGTATTCAATTAAATATAGATGTTTAATGTCCTTAGCCCCTAGTTGTCGCTCCCCCTCTTCATGGAGGAACGACACTAAACCCTGCCTAGGCTTCCTATCCGAGTCACGGCACCATTATGTCGCTCCCCCTCTTCACGGAGGAACGACACAGGACCCTGCGTTGTTCTTTCGTCTGCTCGGCCCT